GTAGGAACTGCATCCGGTTATAATCGATTACGCTGCAAGCCTGATTTGCTTGGAATTTTGTTTTTCTCGTTGTTTTGTTTTATGTTACTTGAAAATAGTTTTCACTATAAGAAAATATTGAAATTCATTTCATTTGGGTTAAAGAAAACGACAACTGTGAAAAAATATCAACCAATACATTCAAATAAATTGTCAAATAAGCATACCCTGCAAACCAAAGTTCCCGAAATCTTAACGAAATTTTAAAGAAACTCGGAAATGTGTTTCGAATTCTGTAATGATTTCTTTACGAATTTTCAAAGAAAATCGTATGAAGGGGTTGACACGAACTCGTAAAGAAATATCTATAGGACTTTTTAACTAAAATTCTAAAAGATTTCTTTAGGAATATTTTGTTAAATTTCTGAATGAAAATTCTAAAGGATTTCTTTAAATATATTTTGTTCAATTTCTAAAGGAAAATTCTAAAAGATGTCTCTAAGAATATTTTTTCAGCATTCTGAAGAAAAGTTAGAATAGATTTCTTAAAGAATATTTTGCCAACCTTCTGAAAGAAATTAAACACGGAAATTTTTGGAAATTAATCGCTACAGTTTATTCGGTTTATATACTATATGAAATGTATGAGAGCGGGATTTCAATTACTATCCGGCTGTTTGCGACGATAGCGACCAAATAATTATAAAATGCTTGTTGCCTATGAGGCAGCTTAATGTTAGCTACAAAAGAATTCAGAATTCAGAATAGTTTTCAAGGTTTAAGGTAAGTAAATGTACAATAAACTGATAAATATAAATTTTAAGCGTTCAAAAGGTAAGTATTTAAAATTGTAGTAAAAGCTAACTATTTCATGGTATAAAGAAGGTAAATACAACATGTTTAAGGTTGATATTTGCTTTGAATGTAAAAATTAGAAAAAAAGTTAAATTTAATAAATTTATAATTCTATTAAGTTTGGACTCATGTCCTCGACAATTCCGTGAAGGTCCTTTGTAGAGTTGAAAAATCCTTTAATGATAGCTTCAGTGTTGTCCAGCTTAGCATTCCCATCTGCAGGCACACAGGAGTCTGTGAACAAAGTAATCTTATTTAGCTGCATACATATTACGCGTAGGTACGCTAAAATTACGCAAAAACAGGCCGAGACACGTAAACTAAATTTTTAACCGACTTAAAAAAAAAATGAGAAGGTTATCAATTCCCCAATAATCGCAATATCAAACTTACCTTGTTGGCTTGTTCTTATTTTTTTAATTTTCGGTTCTTATAAATAAACGCGTTTATAGCACAAAACCGCAAAAAGATGTATATTTTTTTTGGGCGTCAGAATTTGTTTATATTTTCAATGTCGATTGTGACATTATTATAATTACGTTATTGATTTTATTTCGAAATTTCCTAAAAGAATCGAAGTGTGCACAGTACATTTCATCTTAGAAAATTCGGCAAAAAATCGGAAAGAAAATATTGGAATCTTTACGATTTTCTTCCGCACTTTCTCAAAACAATCGAAGTATGCACAGTTTATTTCATTTTAGAAAATTCGGCAAAAAATCGGAGGAGATCTTTACGAATTCTTTAAAATTTCTCTACAATTCAGAATACTCTGTAAAAATGGTTTGCAGGGTATTTACATTTTTTGTTTTGCCTATCTGGATTACTGTATACTGTGTATGTACATATGTATAGCGAACATCTTTGCTAATGATATTGTCGAACTGGATACCTACCAGCATTTATGGCAAATACGTAAAGAGCAACGCAGATGCCAATACTCAGCTTGATAAGCCTAAACATTGGCACTACGGGGAAAAACATTTTTTCCTTATTTCACTTATGTAAAGCCTCACACTTTTACACAAAACTGTTTATATGTCTGATTCCGATAATAAGTTTATTATAAATACATCTCATTAAATTTTATTGAATATTTTTGTAAGCCAATCACAGTTTCCGCAAATAATTGCCGACGCGTTTTAAAAGCGCTACCATACAACCTCCACCTCCAAACGCCAACCGAGTCAGACTGAGGTACGCACTCAGAGCCTAAGCTCGACGAGCTTAAGTGTGGCTTTGGGATTTTATTTAGCTTTGAGTTTTGATACATATGGACATATGTATATTTATAAGTACGCTTGTGTGTATGCAGCTTGAGAAGTTTGTTCTTTTCGGCCCTTTCACTGCGCCGTGTGAACGTAAATTTTACATACATATGTATGTATGTAAACACTAATATTGATAGCGTAATCCTGTTTTATTCTTGTTTAGTTAGAAATCTAAACGTACATAAATATGTACACATATTCTTAAACAAATTATTATTGATAAGATTGGAGGGGTGCAATTTCCTTGGGGTGTATATTTGTAAGCATATGTATATACATATGTACATACATATGTAACTAAACACACAAACATTCATTGAATTGTATTGCGAAGCATTGCTTTTCTCCCAATCAAACTGAATTTATAGTTTTTTAATTCAACTTTAGCCTTTTGAGATAATCATGATTATATGATATTATATATATTTTTTCTATTAATTTTGATACCATGAAAATGATAACAAACACCCACAAGTATTATATCTGTTACCATAAGCAATATTCCCTTAAGCCAAAAATTATGTACATACATACATACATTAGACTGATTCTAAAAAATCGACAGTCTTTTTTTTCCGAATCTCCTGTGAATTATTTTCGGGACAGTGAAACGATTGTTTCAATTTTGAAATTTCGTAACTCGTTTTTAAGTCAACGTATCTGAATGAACGATATATATTTTTACCATCTCATAAGCTGGTAACAAAGTATTGCCCCGTGAAATATGCAATGCCAGAATTTGCCCAACTCTTCATAGCTGAATTGCTGAATATTTTAACTGCATTACCAACGTACCCAGAATCGCGGTGACAAGAACTGGTAACATTTTTTGGTAATAAAATTTTCCGGTTACAAAATCTTCGGTAACATGCAGAATAGACCTGTTAATAGGAAACAGCTTCTTATTTGAATTTAGTATCAATATTTCCTCGATGATACCACCAACACGCTTTCCATCAAATTAAAATATGGCTGTCAAGCCATAAGCTCTGACATATATTTCCGTCCGTTGGTAATATATTTTGTGACATGATTATCACGACATCAGTGTTTTCCTGTGGAGACAGGACCTTAGGCAACGATTTGACGGATTTGGTCATTGTATGCGACAATACACCCCGCCATGCTGGAATAGAGTATGTTTGTAATAACGGATCAGCTACTCATTTACGTTTAGGACCACATTTCCCGATGCTAAATCCGATGGCAAATACATACATACATATATGGTCAAAAGTAAAATCGTACTTCCTACTATAAATGAATGAGGAGTAATTGAAAAGCGTTTGCAATACATTTTTGGAAAAAGTCAGGCGAAAGATCCAGTTGCTACAGCAGATTGTGCTCGCGCCATACAGTGCTCATCTTTTTTTCTTTCGGATGTTTTGGCGTTGCGTGACATGCCAGTTGGGATGTAATTCCAAGTTTGAGTTCCTAGCATGCTCAGACCTTTCTACGGGAAGGCTAAGGCTGGCATCACCGCTATCCACCAAATGGACCGCGTTTAGCCACACACCTCGACGGAAAAGAAAAACTAGGCGTTCAAGCAACTCATTTATCAAATCGGTATCAAAATCATGCTAGACGATTTCAATACCAGAGTAGGCCTCTACGACGAAACATCCCATAACCGACTGATACTGATCGACTTCACAGCAGCTGTAGACGCTTACAGGGCATTGGATATAGAGAGTTGAATAGGGCAGCGAGACGTTTTCGCCATAATAAAAAAAGGGCAAGGCTGAAATACGTTAGTGCAAAGAGCTTGAAATGCTGGTCGACAGGAAAGATGGCCGAAGTATGTGAATAGTAATCCGCTGAGCTATTCAAGCAAAGCATCAATTCTTATACTGAATATGGCCAGACGAACGCCAACAAAAATTGGTGTTGTTATCCGCACTGGAAGAACAAAGTCAGACGGCACCGTTTCCTTTACTTTTAAAGGAGTTATGATTTCGATGTCTTCCAAAGTCTTTAAGAGTATTCTGTATGCAAAGCTTTATAAAGAGGTGTTACAATGTTCACTTTTTTTGAGGTCTTGGCTAGCTTCATGGCGAGCGAGATCAAATCTTCTTTTTAACCGACTTCCAAAAAAGGATAATTTTGAACCACGTGAACCGATTTCGATAATTCTTTTTGCATCATGAAAGGTAGTATCTCAGAGGTGGTCCCATACTAATATCGTTTAGATCTGATCATTGGATCATGAAATATATATATATATATATTTTTTTAAGTCGGTTTCGGCTCGACCCTATTAAGCTGGCATTTCAGGGTACTATTTTATATATATATAAGGGAAATTTGAAGGTTAGGGGGGGCTCGAGCACCCCCCTGCCCCTATCTGGCTACGCCCATGGATACGGGTTACTTGATAGCCAGCAATCTGACTATATGTCGAGTTGTCCTCAGATCAGGACTGGGCAGAGAGCCTTTTATGAGCAGACAGAATCAGCCTAGAGTAGACTACACATGTAGGTAAATATGTATGTATGTGTAATCCTTTTTAAACGACGCATCCTTCACCCACTAACATTCGAGATTTTGGTACGTGGGCAAAAGCGGAGTAGAGTTAGATTCGCAAAGACATCAAGGAGTCTGGAACATTGTATTCGAAACGCTATATGTTGGTGTAGTTTTTCCTCAGAGCATAATAAATATTGTCTTGGCCTAACTTTCTTTATTATGGAGGTGAAGAATTACTTAACTCCTTCTTGTAGACTTAATGATATTCAAAGCTATTTGTTTTTCTTATTGCTATTTTATTTCTCCATACTACATTTTATTATTATAAGATGATTTTTTCCAGAAATATTATTTTAGTACAAACATAACATATTTATATATTATAGGTATATTTTACCTTAAAATAAATATTGTAGTCATAGTGAGTCGGTTTGGATGTGTTTGTAAAAATAAATATGCCTTAGTTACACCGACATGACTCCTGGAATAACTCTGAATGATTCAACTGTGTGTAGTCGAAGGCGAGTCAACAAGTACACAAATGACTCAAATGATGAAAGTCAGACGCATGGTGTATGCCGCCTATAGGAGTAAGTAATTTCCCGAGTAAATAAAACTTGCGAACTTAAGCTGCATCTTTAATAAATACTCAACAACTTAATTATCATTTCTCTATCACGCTTTTTATCCAATCAATATAGGTACCCACACGTGCGTAAACTCCCGGCCAGCCATCGAAACCGCACGGCTTGGGACCAAACGATATAATTCCCGTTGCAAAATATACAATACGATTATTCAGCACCTCAGGTAACATCAATGGACCTCCGGAGTCTCCACGACACGCATCAATCCCACTAACGCCACCAGCGCACAAGTGGTGCGTACCATCAATGTGTCGATTTAAAGATTTATAAATATTTCCACAATCCTTCGTTTCCCACACCTTCACAGAAATTGCCAATTTCAGTGGCGATGAGATTGCTTTGGGTTTATCGGTTGCACCCCAACCAGCTACTTCCATGGTAGAGTTTACGAACATGCTGTCACACAACTCTTGAGCCACGGGTAAACAGATCGGACGTATAAAATCACTGTAGGATACACTCTCTTCCAGACGCAATAGAGCTACATCATAGAATTGTTCGTTTGAGCTGCTCACATATTTTGGGTGTGATATGGCTCGTTCTATACCCAATTCTATAAAGGGCGGAGCACATGACTCCTTGCCACGCACATCTATTTCACAATCCGGATTGGTTCTTAGATCCCATTCACCCAAACGGACGCTGTGAAGTGTTCGCTCCTCCGTCTGATTACGGCAATGCGCCGCAGTGAGCACATAGCGAGAATTTATAAGACTACCACCACAGAGAAATTCAAGCTGATTGCCGCCTATAGTGGAAAGAGGAAAACGGGATTCCCAAAAAACATTAAAAGCTCGGTTATAAAATTTTATTACGTACTACTACTCACGTGTTTTATAGCGAATTAATGCCATCCAGGGGTAGTCCAAGATACGTGTCTTATTGCCGCCGTAGATGAACTCAGACAGCGAGGTGCCACATTCGCCAGCGGAGGGGAGCACATTGCCAGGCTGTACGTTGGCTAGCTGCATATCGGTTCTAGTACTCGTATTTTGCAAGGATTTTTCAGGGCAACAAACCTGTACATGCAGAAAATGAAGAAGATACAAAAAGGAACTTCATCACTTAATTGTTTAATAATAAGACAAAGTAAATAGGTACTTTCGAGCTTGTCAGACAACGCTTAAATAAGATGAGCCACTCGTGCCATGTTGAGTAAGTATAAAGTTAAGATAATTCATAGAGTTAAAATAGTTTATCGCACAACGCTTAAGATAAGATAAATTAAAGGCCAACGACCTGTTGAGATAAAGTGGCTGGGGTCATCGATTTGAAGGTTCGATCCCTGTTGCAAGCAACATCTAAAAATAGAAAATGTTTATTCTAAGAGCGGTCGTTCTTGGCAGGCAATAGCAAACTTCCACTGAGACTATTCTTCTCAATGCAAGATTTATGAACTAAGAGCCGTTTTCTCAAGTAACCTTTAAGTTTAAAGCTCACTTTATATTTAAAGGTTGGAAAAACAGAAACTTTCTCAAAACGAATCGTCCCTGCAGCAATAACGCGACCAAGTTTCCGTAAATGACCAGTACTTCACTGGTTCAAATTTGACTGGTCAGAATTGGACATTTGCTGGCATCGGTAATGTCAGCTTTGGACCAGTTCTCAAGGAATCGATCTAGAGATAGACGCAAAGTACAGTTTGGCAGTGACAGGGTGGTGTTGTCTAGCAATTCAATAAGAAAAAAATGTAAATGTCCCAAACGCTTGGTCTGGCTTTGATGCAAAATGAACATTTGAACACACATTTACATGCGTGGCTGTAGCTCAGGCGCAGAGATTCTTCCCACTATTTGTTAGTTAGCCGGGTTCAAATGCCATCAGAGGCAACATGGTTATAAAATGAAAATTTTTTTTGTGCGTTTCCGAATTATGAAAAAGCATCTGTGAAGTGCAGAATGCAATCTTACTCCAACGAAAAAAATCTCCAAAATTGGACTAGTCCAGGACTATTTTACGGTCAGGGTTGATTGGACCGATCCCTTTCCAATTACACGCCAAATTCGGCGGATTCAATATGGTGACCAAATTTTAAAATTTTTCCATTTCTCCAGAAACTCATATAAATAGGGGGTTTTCGAGGTCGCTGATTTCAAACCTGATGTCAGATTTTCGAAATAGAAAATGGCGGATCCAATGGATTTGGTATCCCCGCGAAACTAATACGGCTGTATAAAATTACGTTGAGCAATACCATCAGCTCTATCGTAACTGGGAAGGATGTCTCCGAGCCGGAGCGCGGAGGTAGGGACAATGAATACATCTGATGATGAGAAAGATTCTGCGAAAGATTTTCGGACCTTTACGCGTTGGCGATGGCGAATACCGCAGACGATTTAACGATGAGCTGTATGAGCTTTACAACGATATAGAAATGGTGCTGCGAATTAAGATTCAGGGGCTCCGCTGGCTTGGCCATAGCGTTCGAATGGATACAAACGCTCCTGCTCTGAAAGTATTAAACGCCGGCCGCGATGCTGGTAACAGAGGAAGAGGAAGGCCTGCTCTGCGTTGGAAAGACCAGGTGGAGAAGGACTTGGCTTCATTTGGCATTTCCAATCGGCGTCAGTTGGCACAGAAAAGAAACGACTGGCGTGCTGTTACAGTGCCAATAAATAACAAGAAGAAGTATAATAAAAATACAAAAACATCTTGCATATTGTTTTTTCGAAGAACACTATTTTTGACCAATTTTTTTAAGGTCAAGGAGTAATTCTGGCTCAATGGCAATACTTTTTCATGAAAGGCAATTACATTAGCTTTCAAAACCATTTTGTTTAATATCAAAATGATGCTTCTGTCCAAAGCGCTATGATTAATTCGCATGATGGGCGTACAAAATTTTTGATTCTTATTTTTGAGGTTATGTAGAATGATGGCGTGAAATGGAAATCGACTAAGCTTAAGAGATTTTTTCCCGTTTTTGGGTCTTAAAAAAGTTGCTAAGCTGTGTAATTATCGACTGACATATGAGTAGTCCATTTGCAAAGTGCGCTATGTAAAATGTTTTCGATTTTTAGTTTTTGGTGGGTAATTTTGCCTTTTTTTGTTGTAGTTTATAGATCCGCTAAAACCCCCAGAAAATGGGGGGATAAACAAAAAATCTTTAGTATTAAAAATGGTTAAATAAACAATTGGGTGTGGTTATTTGAAGTCTCCTGAAGAGAGCCAGAGTTTTCCGACAAAGAAATATTGATTTTCAAGAATTCCATACCATCTCTACAAAAAGTTGTTGTTTCCCCATATACATAAAATATATAGAAAACTTTGAGCGCTTTGAGCGACCTCTAAATACACTGAATCACAAATTTAATCTGTTTTTTTTTCTCCAGACGTCACTATCCCATTTGTATGTATAATCGCCCGCTGATTCCAAAAATCAAGTTAATTTTGTATTCCATGGATACGTTTTCGAGATAATCAAATTTTAAATAAAAAATATAGTTAAAAAACTAAAACCTACCTATTATAATTCCCATTCGTACTGTCATCAGGTATGTAACTTGAGAATAGAAATCGCTGCATCTTTTAGGCGCATCAATATTACATCCCGAGCTAATAAAAGGAAGGTAATAAAAACTAACAGCTTCTGTTTCAAATTCTTGCAGTTGTGCTAAAGCCTGCTCTTTTACAAACAAATCAAGTTACTAATGAAAAAATCTTTGTGCATTTTCATTTGACCACTCATTACTTCTTTATTTATCCATCGATTTTCTTCATTAGTAGCTTGATTTTTTTGTAACAGAACAGGGTTTAGCACAAAGGCAAAAATTTTACACAAAACCTTTTATTTTTTAAGTTTTTCTTTTGTTAAATTTTTTTTTTCATATTTTCATGAAAAAAATAAAATCTTGGAATTATTAATTAATTTGTCAGAAACTATCAGGCCTATCGAAATGTGATATATACACGGTCTATATAGAATTTTGTTAGCTTGAATTTGCCGTATTTGATATTAAGATTGTTAAATTGGTTCGCAAGATCTACGTTATTAAGTGTAACCACTTTTTGTTTTAATCGAAATAACGGTAAATTGAAAACTTATCCATGCAAAAAAAAATGAAGTCGATTTGCGAAATCAGCGAGCAATTCTTTATAGGAATTGGATAGTGGCATCCATTGAACATTTTTGCTAAAAACCAGTGTTATTATCAAAATAAAAAATAGTTATACATTTTTCGATATAGAACAATCCTAGGGGGTGAGAGAGAGAGAGATTAAAAATCCAACCATACTTATTTTGGACCACCCTAGTGTTGATACCTATCTGGTTATCCGAATTGTGTATATGTATACTTACATATACCCCGATGCTTGAATCTAAAAAATTAACTAAAATAACTACTATTTGAGTCTTAATGAAGTGTTCTATTATTTATTTTTTTGATTATGTAATTTTAAGAACATTTTTTCGAATCCATTTAAATACTGTTTAGAATTTCCGGATAACCTAATTATATTTATTTGGATACTCTGGTACCTATCCGTGTTCGTATGGAATAGTAGCTTATGTCGAAAGGCTGGCTTTAGTATAATGCGGCATTCGCAGCATTCGTTTGCGAATGACTCACTGGCGCCGAGCCGTTGAAAAACTTTTGGCAAATAAATATGCAAGAAATAATTCCGATACTAGCAAGACAATGTTCCCATTAAGTCTCATCAAAAAATTACTTGTTGTTTAAAGAATAAAGGGAATGCTGCATTATACTAAAGCTAGCTTCCTGACATAAGCTACTATTCCATACGAACACAGATATGTATGTATGTATTGAGCATCTATGTAGTTTTAAGCAAACAGGTTCCCTTTTAAAATTTTTGAATGAACCCTTTAGTTTAAATCTATATTCCAAACTCTTCCATGTCATCTGTTTAATTTCCTACTCACCACAATTCTGTGCATTTTCTCTGTGAACGTGTTATCATAACCACACTGACTCTTCCGTAATGTTTCCTCTACTTCCTCATTCAAATCTCCTGAAAGAATATCCAAAATATATTGACAATCGGCCAGCTGCACGCAGATGCCTTTGCTGTTGAATTGTGACTCACAACGGCCATAGCTAACACCGGCTATTAAAAAAAGTTAGATCGCTTGTCATGAATAAATTAAGCCCACACAAATTAATGCGTTGACTAATTGAATATGTGAATAACGTACCTACGCCAGTTGTAACGTACAAAAACAACAGTAACGGAACTATTGCGCGTGCGAAAACCAATTTAAACATTTTACTAAAAGCAAATAAACTTCTATTTAGAATAATCGAATAATTTTTAATGTCTTTTTGCATTAATAGTATGGGTTGTGATCTTCCAAACACGTCCACACTCAACACCACTCACTCGCAACACTAAACGCAATCGATGATTTGAATTTGAATGCAGCTCAACACCTTGGAGCTTTTGGTTTTCGAAATAAAAAGAAAAACCCAACGGAAATTATCATTGCATTCTTGCTTAGTGTAGCAGTTAAGCGTCATGCCGTCCTCTTGGCGTCGTCGAATTGATCGTCGTTAGCGCAACCGTTGCATTGGCGATAAGAAATGCGAATGCGAGAGTAAATCTAACTGAACACAAGTGTGCAGCTACGCTCATAGCGGCCCCTTGATCAGCGAAATAGTCAATAGGTTATGCGGTGCTGAGTAATTACCTACATACATATGTTTTGTAGCAGATATTTACATACAATTATAGACTTTTAATAAGTTCGCTGAATTGGGGAAAATTCACCCACACAAGTTCAAGAGAAATATAAAAAAAATTTACACCACTAGCGACAATAAAGTATGAAAAATTCCTCAGCTGATTACGCTTCTCATATCGAAGAGCATACTTACATATATGTACGTAGACGACCCACCATTTAAATAGAAGCTCAAAAATTATCTAAATACCTTAACTATACAGAGAAGGCTATAGTTTTCTTTATAACTTAGATTTGTATATAGTAGGAATACGTACAAAGGTATGTATCAATGAAAACAAAACGTGACTGCCATATTTAATAAGCCTAGACTTATCGGTAAAAACCAGCGGCTGCCAGATTTGTGATAATGCAAATGATAAAAACAAGTATTGATAAAAATGTGCACTTGAAACCACGTCTTTAATAGCCTGCGCGCATTTTTTTTTAAGATTTGATTCTGAACTACTTCCCTCACGACTTTTTTCGGAAATTCGATCACTNTTTTTTTTTTAAGATTTGATTCTGAACTACTTCCCTCACGACTTTTTTCGGAAATTCGATCACTTCCAAATTATAAACTGGCCCGGCATTTCGCGATCCTTAAATATATTTTTAAAATAAAAGAACTGGCATTTTTTCGACGCCTATCTTCTGCGTTGTTCATTTGTTTTATTCCAAATATCTAATAGTACTAAAAATAGGCGATTATTTCTTATTTTCTGCGGCATGGATATAATAGTTGATTAATATACCTTTGTTGTTTTTCAAATCTGTGCTATTTGAGTTATCCAAAATGGTTATGTACGAGTTGTTTTTAGCTGTTATAAATAACTACGGTTAACAAGATAGTTTGAATATTATAATTTTATATAAAAAATGCGTGTGTTGCAATCTAGATGCTGGCTTTTCTCTTATCAAGGAACTAACAATTGAATCGCACACATCCACTACATACACATACACTTAATTTACTTTTGTTGTGCTTTAAATTTAAATCCTTTTATTGTTTCCGTATGTATAAACTGGTTGAAAAGCTTCACCATCATCTCCCTCGCCGTCATCGGAATCATCGCTATCGAACGTATTGTCTGGAATATCGTACAAGCGAATCATTGGCTTGTTGGGATCCTTCATAATCAGATATTTGCCATCCTTTTGTTTCATCACGATATCGATGATGCAACGCAGCACTCCCCAAGCGTTATCCATACTTAAATTAATTTGGGTTGCGAACTCATGTGGTTTGAATTGCTGTGTTCCAAGTATAACATGTTTAGAGGGATCGCGTGGATTGCTTCGTGAAACATAACCTAGTTTCAACTGATCGGAGCCGGCAAGCGCAGCTTGTACAGTCCATTTGGCCAGTTTGCAGGCATTGTTGCGCAACTCGTTCGCCAATACAGCACCTCTTTGGGTATCTAATTTCTGACGCCATTCAACACCATTCGCTAACTTCGAATCCCATTCGTTTAGCGCCTTAATCGATAAAAATTGTGGTTCACCATTTGGTGACTGCAGCACACCGTCGTGTTCACAACGAGCCACTAAAACCTGTCGGGATTGATTTTGCATAAGTTACATTTAATGATTTGATTTTAAATTATCTACACTTACAATATCGCTACCCAAATTCCATTTCTTATAGCGATAACCAACACTTGCAACTTCCACATCTTCATCTTCAGTAATAAATGGATTTGCCTCCTGAAACTTATACTTGGGTTCCTTTTCGCCGGTTTTCAATACTTGCTGGCTGAAATTGTGGTTTATGAATGTAGCTTCAATTGCCAAATTACGTGGTGAATTGGGTGAGCTATCATCGTCAGTTGGTGGCTCCACTGATGTCTCATTAACCGTCAGCAAATCGAATTCAGTATTGTCGCGTTTATCCATGAAGATTTTATCACCTAAAATACAAATATAAACGGGGAGTTTCACCTACAAATACCTACATACAGTTATATTTCGGTTAAATATATACTTACCAAACTTTTCAATTACAATATCCCACGAGTAATTTGAACGTGTTGAACACATGATGGTCGCCAAAATGGCGTCAGTAGCAAACACATTACCCACAGTTTTGGATAAACGACGGATTACAGGATCGTCGGTGGTGGTGACAGTGTGAACAATGCGGTCAATTTTCTGCAACGGCTTTTCATTTTTAACATTGATACGATCGTAGGTCTTGTCATAGTACTCGAGTGTACCACAGGTGATTATATCCTCACCCTCTTTGATATTAGGCAAAGATAACTTCATTAACCGTGGGAAGTCCATTTCCTCAATCGATGTCCAATCTGAGCGTACAGCAACCGACGACTCACGTATCTTAGGTGGCACACCACGTGACCCAAACTTCTTGCCCATACCACGTCGAGGATCCCGGGCCTTGACATTTTTACCACCCAAAGTGGTCATACCAGAATTCATGCCGCCGCGTTGATTGCGACCACGCGCTGACCTGGTTTTGTTAAAGAATGCATAGATATACACACAAGTTATAATAAGTGTAAATTGTATAAAAACACCTGTTGTTACGCATGTTCGAACGGAAACGTCCACGTTGATGTGGCGGCTTCTGCACGCGTGCGGTATCTACCAAATGGAAAGTAGTTTCATCCTCTTCATGGTAATAAGCATATTGGCTTCCGGTACCAAAGGATGAAGCGTACTTATCTGCAAAATTAAAATTAATAGTAATGAATAGTTTGTATATTATATATGTATATACTTAAGTAAATAAAAAATTAGTGGTTAATAAATGATATGGTTGCATATGGTAGTTACTATGCAAAACACTTCCCCTGTTAAATTTGAATACAAAGTAACTTTGGTTGAAATTCACTCGGAAGTGAATTGCACAGCCTGCCTGAATTTAGGATTTATTGGTTTGTTTAGTAATTTACCTATTCATTGGGCCATATGGATGAAAAAGAAGCAATTGTTTTTCTTAAAATTTCAGACCTTTTACTCGATATATTCAAACAAAATTGAAGTAAAAGGTTTGCAATTTTAAGAAAAAGCAATAACTTAGTTTTTATTATAATAGCTAAATATTTCCAAAAATTCACGTTTTAACTCTATGAGTTTGTACAACGATTTTGGGTTGCTGTGCCCAAACGCCTGAATCGAATCAAAAACCTTTTACACACACTTGTAGACAACAGTTCCAGCTTTATTGCAAACATAAAATTTACTATATCTGTGCACTAATTTATTAATAATGTCGGATGGAAATATGGTATTTTTTGCAAGTTTCCGAGCTGAGCTGTCAAACAAAAAATATTCACGAAATATCTCTGCAAAAGGTGTTCGTTCAGCCCTTCAGCCTCGAACCCCCTCCCCTAAATCGTTGAACAAATAGCTAAAGATTTCCTAAATTTTTTTACCGAAGTTATATATAATATAGAACCTCCTTTTCACCTGATACCAATTTTGTATAATTTTCCGTTGGCCTCAAATAAAATCAACCCGAAAATAGTGCATTTTAAAAATGCCACAAAACCTCTGTAAACAAAAGCGACTGCAATTACAGCTGTTTTTGTTCTCTTTATGCGATTTGGCAGTGGTAAAAAAGTACCCATTTGACGTTTCCCTTTTGAGGGAAATGAATATGGCTGCCACGATTCACCAACAGATTTGCACATAACCTCACATTAAAGACAAAAGTCTGCTTAACAATTTTGATGCAATCTTTTGACCAAAACTTACTTTGGTACTTCTTTTCGTTATTGGAGCTACTGGTCCAATCACAAATCTTTCCTAAACGATCGCTCTTACTAAACGGCTGGTATGGCATATCACGAAAAGTTTCCGGTAGTTCACATGGGCCCCAGCCATTTTCATTGAATTGCACTGTTGGCTTTTCAAATTGCGGAAACTGTGTACTAGTGTTGATAGTTTCACTCATAATTGTGGAGTTCACTTGATTTCAACAGATATTTTAACCTTTTCCACTAATTAAAACACTTTTTCTTAATCCGACGTTCAATTGATTTGACAAATTGAAAAGAAAGGAATAAGCCGATGGAGCTAAGTTGCCATTCAAACGAAAAAATTGACAGATTTTAGCCAATATAACCAGATTCGCGGTTTCTGTATTGTAATTGTGAAACTTGACAGCACTTCAAAGTTGTAATAGAATGTAAATTTGTTTGAAAACAAAGAACGTACATCACGGTGCAGCGAACAAAGGTGGCGCCGTCAGTGGTACC